GTACATGTACACTTACAATGGGGTAATCTGTAATGTGCTAAACCCCTAACCAGCGTGCTGTTCAATTTTCGCTCGCTAGCACATGGTGCATTATGGGCAACCACTTCTTGCTAAATGTCAGTCATTAGCATACAGAATAATGGGGACTTTAACCATTGAACCATTACAGCACCAACTCATGTGCATTGAAAATGCCAGGAGATATGAACAGCAACAAGACAGTGTTTACACTGACACGCCCAGTTATAAGATGGGTTGCTGGTTTTTTCTTCTTTCTATGACTCATGTTGGGGAAGACACTATGGCTTTTTGGAGTCACTAGCTAACTTTTTAAGTAACTTCATAGTGCTTTTTTGCTTCCTGCTCCGGTAACGTTTTTGGGTAGTGGTTATTCCCCTGCCCAATAGTTGTAATTTTAGCGCTTTGCGTAAACATACGGAGGAGGGGCTATCAATTTCAACCAGGAATGCTGACTCATCCTACCAGAGATGGCCAAGGGTTGTGATTGGTTTCTACCTGTAGTGGCTATTTTCTCTGCCTGGAATCTACACCACTCGTGTCATGAAAATAATGTGCTCAAAGATAGCTCATGGACTCAGCTGTGCTTTATCCTGTGCCTGGTGAAGGCTATTGGTGGTGTTGTAGTGAGACTGATAGAATGTTGTTATATGAATGAGAACCCTCAAGACAGTGATTGCGGAACCGTCAGCGACCGTTGGACCATTGCCCTGACTGAGCTGCCACTTTTGGTATGGTGTGCCATACTGATAAGTAACAAACCGATGTGCCAAGGCCACACGGCACACATCGACTTTGTAGATGTTTTGAGGGCTTTCCATATCAATGGTGGGATATCTCTACTACACTCAGCATATCATTGTATGAAGTCCTTAAAGGAAAATTGGCGTTTTGCTATATCTCATCTCATACTAGCTGGGTTTGTCATTTTACGATCAAATTGTATTCTGTAGCCCATGAACTGACTCTGGTAAACTGTAAGCTTACAGCTTTTCTAGGTTTTATGGTTGCATATCTATGTTCTATGTTGTCTACTACCAGATACATCATGTTTCATTAACCTCCTCTTATTGGCGAGCGGGAGCGAGCTAACCTAGTGGTCCGAACGCGTACGTAGAACGCTTACTTAGTGACGTCACGGAATCATTACGTAATCATAAAATTTCCGTAGCAACGGGGCGTTGGCAACGGCCCTATGGCTTTTTCGCGACGCTTTGCGCACCGAGAGGATTAGTGGGGCGGAGTTTTTACGCAAAACCACGTTGACCGGACGACGATGGCGATGCGTGTTACTGCGCATGCTCTTTGCGCTCAGATTGCGGAGCTTAGCGGCAGTATAGTGCATGCACCTAAAAAGCATCAGTGGTGGCAGATAGAGCGGTAGACTGATGTCCTGCAGGCTGCACACAAAAGACAACAATCAGCTATCATGATAATTGGCGAGCGGGAGCGAGCCAACCTAGTCGTCGCAACGGGCCGATTTCTCTATTTATTTATTTATATACGACCGACCGTGGTACGTCGTGTAAGTGCGCATGCGCGACTTCATTTCACAACTAACTGTGGCAACCATGGATCGTCAGTCTACAGAGGATGCCCTTCGTCGTCGAAGAGAGAGGGAAAGACAACGTCGTGCCCGTGAGACTCCTGAGCAGAGAGGCTCGGCTTTCTCAACAAACAGAACGTCGCGCCCGTGAGACTCCTGAGCAGAGAGAGGCTCGGCTTTCTCAACGCCGACTGCGTGGGACTCCTGAGCAGAGAGAAGCTCGGCTTTCTCAACGCCGACTGCGTGATAGGGAACGGCCAAGGGAACGCCTCGCCGCCGAAACAGCGGAAGAAAGGGAAGCACGACTAGCGAGACGTCGTGTACAAGATAGAGCTAGACGCGCTGCAGAATCAGGGGAAACGGAACAGGCCAGGCTCACACAGCTCCGAAACTACCAGGCAAGACGAATTGCTGCCGAGTTCAGCGGGGAGAGAGAGGCCCGCCTGCAACAGGTACTTACGCAGGAATCAAGAACAGAGAATTGCTGCTGAGGCCAGCGGGGAGAGAGAGGCCCGCCTACAGCTGGTACGACTTAACAAACAACAACGGATTGCCTCAGAGACTCCACAAGAGACTGAAGTTAAGACGTCAGCGTGACCGTCAAAGTCACATGCAGCAGGCAAGTATACTGCCACTTCAACCTCAACTTCACCAGCCAATTGGTCCAATCAAACTTTGAAGTACTTTCAACACCTGTAAACACATTTCTTGGTTGGATCGCTCCCGCTCGCCAACAATGGTTACCATTAAACTAGTATAGTTTTTTAGTGATATACGGAGTAGTATGACCAGCAGCATGCATGTGAAAATTTTGAAATCCTTTCGGATAAAATGAAGCGCGTATCCTGGAGCATGCGCAGTTGGACGACGTACTGTCGTGTCGTTCGTATATATCGATATCCGCGCCGTTCGTACCACTAGCTCGCTCCCGCTCGCCAACTATGGCCGAGAGGGGAATTCCCGCACTGCTGCCCGATCACCTAGCGATGTCGGCCCGCACTAGCAGCGACATCGGCCCGACGTCTGCCCGTACTGTTTGCGACGTCGGCCCGCACTATTTGCGACGTGGAATGGAAGTAAACAACTGGGTTGTCGTAAGCTCCTCTATACTTGAGGTTCTTGCTATTATCGCTACTGGATGGTGTGCCTTTGCTCTAACGAATCGTTCTGCATCCCCTGATGGTGTGAAGTATGTATGGCTGATACTAGGTATAGTGTTTATACTCGCAATTCTGGCGTTGTATACGTATATGGGTTGGCGCTACTACAAGGCAAGGGAAAAAGTCGTGGTTACACATCATGTTGTGTTGATACTTTTTGCTGCTGTAAAGGACATAATGCTAATTGTATCACTTGCAACGATCCCAAATGAATCATGTGGTGAAGATGTTGTGGAAGACCTTCTCCTGGCAGTCAAAATAACTGGTGGTGTTGCTGTCCTGGTGTCATTATTCCATCATCTGAAGTTTCACTTTGATGATGTATGTGAGCACATGTTGATATATGGAGCTCATCTCCTACCGCAGCTTCTTAGCCTGGCAGTTCTGATTTACTCTCTTGCACACCCTTGCAATGCTAAAGCCACATCATGTTCTACAGACATCATAGCTAATAATAGCTGTGAATGTTAGCTAGTATTTATTGTCGTGTGATTGAAAATCATGATTATTAATGTCGGGTGTATCAAAGGACATGTGTGTTCTATATAGCCCTATAAGCGGAAGCATGCAGATACACCAGTATCACCTACCGGATCTTCTGAATCAGCCTTGCGGCTACTAAAGCCATACCTAAAACATCACAATGTAATCCAAACTGTGCTTTGTTGACTTGCCATGACTAGCATAATCTATTGTTAAATTTGCTTAAAAGTAGTAGCTAAATACAACTGTTTACACTGCTTTTGTCAGGGCTGGAGGCCTGAAGGAGTGCACTTACACAATCACTGAGGCTAGACACTGGCCTACGAGACTACATTGTAAAATTAGTTACTTCCCATTGGTTTGGCCGCTTATGGCAGTTTCAGTAATGAATTCTCTTATGATACCATGGTGATTATGACGTCAGTATAAAATAATGAATATACCTCCTATGCTAGGCTTTTGCAAACAAAGATGGCGGGCACACCTATTTGCAATTGTCTGTGTGGTGTTGTGTGGATGGTAAGTATCGCCTTTGGCTGGTACTTTTATATTTTGTGTCAAGAGAGTCAGTTTGTTTCCAGTCAGCAAATTATTAACTGGTATCATGGTGTCTGGTTCTTCAGTACCGTCGCTGGGATCACAATACAACTTTTAGAATGCTGCATAAACTCTCCTGGTACCGAAGAAAAGTGGTTCATGGACTGTATTTATGGCTGTGCAACTGTGTTTAGCAACATGCCCATTGTAACATCTCACTCGTGACATTGAGTACATGCACCTGAAGTATGTCAAAGCCCTACAACAATCGTATTATAAAGCCGTTGACTTGGAATGCTGGTTCTTCACTGCCCACACTGCTACTGTATCGTCTACAGGTGCTGCAACCACGAGTGTTCATTTTATTTTCCCATCTTAGCACAACCTTTTAGGATTAATTTTTGTCGGTGTAACCATTCTACACTCCACAGGATGCATTTTTATGTGACTGCTTACAGGAATGTAAAACATTATATACTCCCTTCGATTATGGTGTATATGCAGGTTTTAACATTGTATACACTGTCACACATTCATGCAAGAGTATCTCAGTTTGCACAACCAAGCAAAGTTGTCACAGTCATAGGGATATGTTACTATGTCTTGAATCGACTTGGCAGCTGGAGAAAATTGTACAGAATCGTTGCCATTGTAAGCAAGCAATCCAAGTATTTGGCCATAGAGTACAAAGCAGTATGTGTTTCCAGTTGTGAAACTGATATTGAAGACAAGAACAATGATGAAGAACAAGGTGAGGGGAAGTATGTCAGACAAGATGTAGAACAACCAACCAAAGTGGCACAGATCCTCAGAGCCACACGTGTGTTTCCATGAGTTGTGATATACTGAATGACCAGCAGAACATTCGCCACACAGCCTGTTAGTTCTCCTGGGGCCACAAATGTCAGAACTCATCGAGTGTAGGTCGTTGTGAAGTGCATGGACCTGTGCCCCTGGATCAATCCCACTATAGGAACAGTACCCATAAGGACAGAAAGCTGTCCAACGTGTAAGAAGGTGTACGGGACAAAGACAGGTGACATGCCGGATGGGACGATGGCAGTGAGACACACTCGGGGCTCTCTCCCTGGTCACGAGGGATGTGGTACCATCGAGATAGTCTACAACTTCTCTCCTGGAGTCCATGTATGTGTGGCCACGTTCGCAGAGACCTCGCTTGATTTTTGACGTACATGTGTGTACTATCAATTTGAGCAGATGTAAATCTAGGGTGACTAGTGTTCAAGCAAAAAATTATAACCATATGTACATTGTCAATTCACATGCATGGCGTGGTTGTGAGAGTGGAATACTTGGTTTTGTTGACAGAATGGACGTCACTACAGAACTAATGGGTTTCCCAGGATGTGCTATTTACCAGACACTGAGAAGGGACAGAAAGTGGGTTACGTAACTACATCATACCTTTTATGTTTTGTGTCCGAACCAACGTTAGTCATCTAAAATCATCTTGACTATTGTCAATATTATCAACCGGCAACCCTCTCCCTGACCAGGTCCTGAGACTGCTGCAGGTTGCGTGGGAGAGAAAACTGACGTTCACAATCGGGACGTCAGTCACCACTGGAGCCACAGACACTGTGGTCTGGAACGAGATACACCACAAGACTGAGAGCTCCTCCAACAACTCGGGCCACGGATACCCAGACCCCAACTACCTGGACAATGTTCTAATGGAGCTCTCTCTGCAGGGAGTCACAGAGTCTGACTCTGAGCCTGCCACCTCTGATGAGAGTCTATGAACAGTCTATGATTAGGTGTGTATCACCACCGTGGATTATGTTATTACGGCGCGCATGCGCAGCGAGGTTTTTTTCCTGTGCTTATAAGAACTACGCGAGCCTGAAAAAATAAGGGCGATTTTCCTGAAACGACTGCGTTCGAGAGATAATTATGCCGTGAAAACAAGCGAAAAGCCAATAATGCATAATCGCGGTGGCTTAGATCCGCTCGCTCTGTGTACCTTGGAGGCACAAGAAGTCACAACGAAGGGCGTGTATCGATTCCCGCATGCTATCTACTATATAGTGTAGCTAGCCCGTCAGACTCTCCGCGAGCTACTAGCGGGAGACCACGAAGCTCTATACTCATAGCCCAGCCCATCAATTAGCGGTCGATACCGCCGCCGCGCCGACCCTCGGCGTGCATGCGCAGCGAGGGTTCTGTATGTAGTTGGTGTGTGTACGTACGTGTGTGTCTGTTACTCTACATCTCACTTCTCGAGTGTTTGTTCGTCTCACAAAGGATACGATCTACTTAACGGGCAATGAAGGTCAGAAAATTTTGTGGGGTTTTCTCTGAAAATGCTCCGTTGCAAAGCTAGAGCGCTTCCAGCATTGTATGGCTAATGCCGGTAGTCTCGCTGGCGGATAATGCGCATGCGCTTATATTTAGCACAGGCCCTAGGCTTACCTCGACCGGGTCCGCTTGCTCTGTCTATCTTGAAGGCACAAGAATTCACAACGAATGGCGTGTATCGACTCTCGCGTGCTATCTACTACTGTAGCTAGCCAGGAAATGCCAGTAGGCTCATAAGGTTGTCAGAAATAGACCGCATGCAAATTGTTATTGATGTTGGCATTCTGAAATAGCAAATGGACAATGGGCAGGCGAAGATCATTGGCTAAATTCATGATTGATGTCATGGTGGGCATGAATAAATTTATTCCTAGGCTACAGTAAACAAAGATGTCAAAGTCAGACACGCCCAATTGCAAAAAGAATTGCTGCAGTTGTTTAGTATGGTTGACAAGTTTAGGCATCCTCATCACTTTCGTTGTGGTGAATTTTTGCAAAGACAGTCGCCATGTTTCTCAACAACTTGCCAACTATTGGTTTATTGTTTCCTTCTTGAGTACCTGTCTTGGGATCATTATGCAGCTTTTAGAGTGTCTTTGTCAGAAGTGCTGCCACTGCTCGGACTGTGAAAAGTGTTCAGAGAATGGTTTGAGCTGTATCCACTTCTGGGCAACATTGTTAAGTGACGTGCCACTAATAGTGATCTCGTTTATACAATTGTCAAGAGGTGGAGTATGTCACCACCCCCTTGCCACAGATGATATTGTTCTACAAGCCCTTGATATTGTTCGCCTATTGCCATTATTGTATCGCCTAAAAAAGAGCAGGCGTTGTTTTAGTTTTATACTCCATCTTGTAGGATTACTTTCTATGGTTGTTATTATCGGACTCTTCATAGTGTGCTATATTTTAACCATGTGATTATTATTGTCCTAGTAAACATTATACATATATGCCGTTCATTAGCTCAAGGCTTTTATTATGCATCTGCATGAGCCATATCCATTTTTTACCACGTCATGACATACCCAGAGGAGCTTCTATATAATAATATATATATACTTCTTCCTGTGAATACTGACTAGATGAGCATTTTTGGTGAGTGGGAGCGACCCAACTGCACACTCATGCACAGGGAGCATTATAGCTTGGTGCTTCTGATGTTGTTTTGGCTGTATGCTATGCCTTTTTGAAGCGAGACGCTGCCTCCTGCGAGCTCTGGTCGCCACTCCCTTGCACCGAGAAAGGCGTGTTTCCAGCTCCTCGGCTGTTTCTGAAGTGGGAGGCTGCCTCCCGGCTGCTATCACTACTTCCTACTGATGGTTGTCTATCGATTAGTACTCGCTAGCACATGGTGCATTATGGGCAACCACTTCTTGCTAAATGTCAGTCTATTAGCATACAGAATAATGGGGACTTTGAATATACTTTAACCCTTGAACCATTACAGCACCAACTCAATTACAGGAGATATGAACAGTGTTTACGCTGACACACCCATTACAAGATGGGTTGCTGGTTTTTTTCTTTTTATGACTGGAAAACACTATGGCTATTATGAGGCTTTTTGGAGTCACTATAGCTAACTTTTTAAGTAACTGCATAGTGCTTTTTGCTTCCTGCTCCGGTAAAGTTTTTGGGGTAAAGAACACTGTTTCGCTTCATTGTGGTTATTCCCCTGCCCAATAATTACAATTTTAGCACTTTGCGTAAACTTGCGGAGGAGGGGCTATCAGTTTCAACCAGGAATGCTGACTCATCCTACCAGAGATGGCCAAGGGTTGTGATTGGTTTCTACCTGTAGTGGCTATTATCTCTGCCTGGTATCTACACCACTCCGTGTCAGGAAAATATTGTGCTCAAAGATAGCTTTTGGACTCAGCTGTGCTTTGCCCTGTGCGTGGTGAAGGCTATTGGTGGTGTTGTAGTGAGACTGATAGAATGTTGTTATATGAATGAGAACCCTCAAGACAGTGATTGCGGAACCGTCAGCGACCGTTGGACCATTGCCCTGACTGAGCTGCCACTTTTGGTATGGTGTGCCATACTGATAAGTAACAAACCGATGTGCCAAGGCCACACGGCACACATCGACTTTGTAGATGTTTTGAGGGCTTTCCATATCAATGGTGGGATATCTCTACTACACTCAGCATATCATTGTATGAAGTCCTTAAAGGAAAATTGGCGTTTTGCTATATCTCATCTCATACTAGCTGGGTTTGTCATTTTACGATCAAATTGTATTCTGTAGCCCATGAACTGACTCTGGTAAACTGTAAGCTTACAGCTTTTCTAGGTTTTATGGTTGCATATCTATGTTCTATGTTGTCTACTACCAGATACATCATGTTTCATTAACCTCCTCTTATTGGCGAGCGGGAGCGAGCTAACCTAGTGGTCCGAACGCGTACGTAGAACGCTTACTTAGTGACGTCACGGAATCATTACGTAATCATAAAATTTCCGTAGCAACGGGGCGTTGGCAACGGCCCTATGGCTTTTTCGCGACGCTTTGCGCACCGAGAGGATTAGTGGGGCGGAGTTTTTACGCAAAACCACGTTGACCGGACGACGATGGCGATGCGTGTTACTGCGCATGCTCTTTGCGCTCAGATTGCGGAGCTTAGCGGCAGTATAGTGCATGCACCTAAAAAGCATCAGTGGTGGCAGATAGAGCGGTAGACTGATGTCCTGCAGGCTGCACACAAAAGACAACAATCAGCTATCATGATAATTGGCGAGCGGGAGCGAGCCAACCTAGTCGTCGCAACGGGCCGATTTCTCTATTTATTTATTTATATACGACCGACCGTGGTACGTCGTGTAAGTGCGCATGCGCGACTTCATTTCACAACTAACTGTGGCAACCATGGATCGTCAGTCTACAGAGGATGCCCTTCGTCGTCGAAGAGAGAGGGAAAGACAACGTCGTGCCCGTGAGACTCCTGAGCAGAGAGGCTCGGCTTTCTCAACAAACAGAACGTCGCGCCCGTGAGACTCCTGAGCAGAGAGAGGCTCGGCTTTCTCAACGCCGACTGCGTGGGACTCCTGAGCAGAGAGAAGCTCGGCTTTCTCAACGCCGACTGCGTGATAGGGAACGGCCAAGGGAACGCCTCGCCGCCGAAACAGCGGAAGAAAGGGAAGCACGACTAGCGAGACGTCGTGTACAAGATAGAGCTAGACGCGCTGCAGAATCAGGGGAAACGGAACAGGCCAGGCTCACACAGCTCCGAAACTACCAGGCAAGACGAATTGCTGCCGAGTTCAGCGGGGAGAGAGAGGCCCGCCTGCAACAGGTACTTACGCAGGAATCAAGAACAGAGAATTGCTGCTGAGGCCAGCGGGGAGAGAGAGGCCCGCCTACAGCTGGTACGACTTAACAAACAACAACGGATTGCCTCAGAGACTCCACAAGAGACTGAAGTTAAGACGTCAGCGTGACCGTCAAAGTCACATGCAGCAGGCAAGTATACTGCCACTTCAACCTCAACTTCACCAGCCAATTGGTCCAATCAAACTTTGAAGTACTTTCAACACCTGTAAACACATTTCTTGGTTGGATCGCTCCCGCTCGCCAACAATGGTTACCATTAAACTAGTATAGTTTTTTAGTGATATACGGAGTAGTATGACCAGCAGCATGCATGTGAAAATTTTGAAATCCTTTCGGATAAAATGAAGCGCGTATCCTGGAGCATGCGCAGTTGGACGACGTACTGTCGTGTCGTTCGTATATATCGATATCCGCGCCGTTCGTACCACTAGCTCGCTCCCGCTCGCCAACTATGGCCGAGAGGGGAATTCCCGCACTGCTGCCCGATCACCTAGCGATGTCGGCCCGCACTAGCAGCGACATCGGCCCGACGTCTGCCCGTACTGTTTGCGACGTCGGCCCGCACTATTTGCGACGTGGAATGGAAGTAAACAACTGGGTTGTCGTAAGCTCCTCTATACTTGAGGTTCTTGCTATTATCGCTACTGGATGGTGTGCCTTTGCTCTAACGAATCGTTCTGCATCCCCTGATGGTGTGAAGTATGTATGGCTGATACTAGGTATAGTGTTTATACTCGCAATTCTGGCGTTGTATACGTATATGGGTTGGCGCTACTACAAGGCAAGGGAAAAAGTCGTGGTTACACATCATGTTGTGTTGATACTTTTTGCTGCTGTAAAGGACATAATGCTAATTGTATCACTTGCAACGATCCCAAATGAATCATGTGGTGAAGATGTTGTGGAAGACCTTCTCCTGGCAGTCAAAATAACTGGTGGTGTTGCTGTCCTGGTGTCATTATTCCATCATCTGAAGTTTCACTTTGATGATGTATGTGAGCACATGTTGATATATGGAGCTCATCTCCTACCGCAGCTTCTTAGCCTGGCAGTTCTGATTTACTCTCTTGCACACCCTTGCAATGCTAAAGCCACATCATGTTCTACAGACATCATAGCTAATAATAGCTGTGAATGTTAGCTAGTATTTATTGTCGTGTGATTGAAAATCATGATTATTAATGTCGGGTGTATCAAAGGACATGTGTGTTCTATATAGCCCTATAAGCGGAAGCATGCAGATACACCAGTATCACCTACCGGATCTTCTGAATCAGCCTTGCGGCTACTAAAGCCATACCTAAAACATCACAATGTAATCCAAACTGTGCTTTGTTGACTTGCCATGACTAGCATAATCTATTGTTAAATTTGCTTAAAAGTAGTAGCTAAATACAACTGTTTACACTGCTTTTGTCAGGGGCTGGAGGCCTGAAGGAGTGCACTTACACAATCACTGAGGCTAGACACTGGCCTACGAGACTACATTGTAAAATTAGTTACTTCCCATTGGTTTGGCCGCTTATGGCAGTTTCAGTAATGAATTCTCTTATGATACCATGGTGATTATGACGTCAGTATAAAATAATGAATATACCTCCTATGCTAGGCTTTTGCAAACAAAGATGGCGGGCACACCTATTTGCAATTGTCTGTGTGGTGTTGTGTGGATGGTAAGTATCGCCTTTGGCTGGTACTTTTATATTTTGTGTCAAGAGAGTCAGTTTGTTTCCAGTCAGCAAATTATTAACTGGTATCATGGTGTCTGGTTCTTCAGTACCGTCGCTGGGATCACAATACAACTTTTAGAATGCTGCATAAACTCTCCTGGTACCGAAGAAAAGTGGTTCATGGACTGTATTTATGGCTGTGCAACTGTGTTTAGCAACATGCCCATTGTAATCATCTCACTCGTGACATTTGAGTACATGCCACCTGAAGTATGTCAAAGCCCTACAACAGATCGTATTATAAAAGCCGTTGACTTGAATGCTGTTCTTCACCTGCCACCATTACTGTATCGTCTATCAAGGTGCTGCAACCACGAGTGTTCATTTTATTTCACCATCTTACACCTTTTAGGATTAATTTTTGTCGGTGTAACCATTCTACACTCCACAGGATGCATTTTTATGTGACTGCTTACAGGAATGTAAAACATTATATACTCCCTTCGATTATGGTGTATATGCAGGTTTTAACATTGTATACACTGTCACACATTCATGCAAGAGTATCTCAGTTTGCACAACCAAGCAAAGTTGTCACAGTCATAGGGATATGTTACTATGTCTTGAATCGACTTGGCAGCTGGAGAAAATTGTACAGAATCGTTGCCATTGTAAGCAAGCAATCCAAGTATTTGGCCATAGAGTACAAAGCAGTATGTGTTTCCAGTTGTGAAACTGATATTGAAGACAAGAACAATGATGAAGAACAAGGTGAGGGGAAGTATGTCAGACAAGATGTAGAACAACCAACCAAAGTGGCACAGATCCTCAGAGCCACACGTGTGTTTCCATGAGTTGTGATATACTGAATGACCAGCAGAACATTCGCCACACAGCCTGTTAGTTCTCCTGGGGCCACAAATGTCAGAACTCATCGAGTGTAGGTCGTTGTGAAGTGCATGGACCTGTGCCCCTGGATCAATCCCACTATAGGAACAGTACCCATAAGGACAGAAAGCTGTCCAACGTGTAAGAAGGTGTACGGGACAAAGACAGGTGACATGCCGGATGGGACGATGGCAGTGAGACACACTCGGGGCTCTCTCCCTGGTCACGAGGGATGTGGTACCATCGAGATAGTCTACAACTTCTCTCCTGGAGTCCATGTATGTGTGGCCACATTCGCAGAGACCTCGCTTGATTTTTGACGTACATGTGTGTACTATCAATTTGAGCAGATGTAAATCTAGGGTGACTAGTGTTCAAGCAAAAAATTATAACCATATGTACATTGTCAATTCACATGCATGGCGTGGTTGTGAGAGTGGAATACTTGGTTTTGTTGACAGAATGGACGTCACTACAGAACTAATGGGTTTCCCAGGATGTGCTATTTACCAGACACTGAGAAGGGACAGAAAGTGGGTTACGTAACTACATCATACCTTTTATGTTTTGTGTCCGAACCAACGTTAGTCATCTAAAATCATCTTGACTATTGTCAATATTATCAACCGGCAACCCTCTCCCTGACCAGGTCCTGAGACTGCTGCAGGTTGCGTGGGAGAGAAAACTGACGTTCACAATCGGGACGTCAGTCACCACTGGAGCCACAGACACTGTGGTCTGGAACGAGATACACCACAAGACTGAGAGCTCCTCCAACAACTCGGGCCACGGATACCCAGACCCCAACTACCTGGACAATGTTCTAATGGAGCTCTCTCTGCAGGGAGTCACAGAGTCTGACTCTGAGCCTGCCACCTCTGATGAGAGTCTATGAACAGTCTATGATTAGGTGTGTATCACCACCGTGGATTATGTTATTACGGCGCGCATGCGCAGCGAGGTTTTTTTCCTGTGCTTATAAGAACTACGCGAGCCTGAAAAAATAAGGGCGATTTTCCTGAAACGACTGCGTTCGAGAGATAATTATGCCGTGAAAACAAGCGAAAAGCCAATAATGCATAATCGCGGTGGCTTAGATCCGCTCGCTCTGTGTACCTTGGAGGCACAAGAAGTCACAACGAAGGGCGTGTATCGATTCCCGCATGCTATCTACTATATAGTGTAGCTAGCCCGTCAGACTCTCCGCGAGCTACTAGCGGGAGACCACGAAGCTCTATACTCATAGCCCAGCCCATCAATTAGCGGTCGATACCGCCGCCGCGCCGACCCTCGGCGTGCATGCGCAGCGAGGGTTCTGTATGTAGTTGGTGTGTGTACGTACGTGTGTGTCTGTTACTCTACATCTCACTTTTCGAGTGTTTGTTCGTCTCACAAAGGATACGATCTACTTAACGGGCAATGAAGGTCAGAAAATTTTGTGGGGTTTTCTCTGAAAATGCTCCGTTGCAAAGCTAGAGCGCTTCCAGCATTGTATGGCTAATGCCGGTAGTCTCGCTGGCGGATAATGCGCATGCGCTTATATTTAGCACAGGCCCTAGGCTTACCTCGACCGGGTCCGCTTGCTCTGTCTATCTTGAAGGCACAAGAATTCACAACGAATGGCGTGTATCGACTCTCGCGTGCTATCTACTACTGTAGCTAGCCAGGAAATGCCAGTAGGCTCATAAGGTTGTCAGAAATAGACCGCATGCAAATTGTTATTGATATTGGCATTCTGAAATAGCAAATGGACAATGGGCAGGCGAAGATCATTGGCTAAATTCATGATTGATGTCATGGTGGGCATGAATAAATTTATTCCTAGGCTACAGTAAACAAAGATGTCAAAGTCAGACACGCCCAATTGCAAAAAGAATTGCTGCAGTTGTTTAGTATGGTTGACAAGTTTAGGCATCCTCATCACTTTCGTTGTGGTGAATTTTTGCAAAGACAGTCGCCATGTTTCTCAACAACTTGCCAACTATTGGTTTATTGTTTCCTTCTTGAGTACCTGTCTTGGGATCATTATGCAGCTTTTAGAGTGTCTTTGTCAGAAGTGCTGCCACTGCTCGGACTGTGAAAAGTGTTCAGAGAATGGTTTGAGCTGTATCCACTTCTGGGCAACATTGTTAAGTGACGTGCCACTAATAGTGATCTCGTTTATACAATTGTCAAGAGGTGGAGTATGTCACCACCCCCTTGCCACAGATGATATTGTTCTACAAGCCCTTGATATTGTTCGCCTATTGCCATTATTGTATCGCCTAAAAAAGAGCAGGCGTTGTTTTAGTTTTATACTCCATCTTGTAGGATTACTTTCTATGGTTGTTATTATCGGACTCTTCATAGTGTGCTATATTTTAACCATGTGATTATTATTGTCCTAGTAAACATTATACATATATGCCGTTCATTAGCTCAAGGCTTTTATTATGCATCTGCATGAGCCATATCCATTTTTTACCACGTCATGACATACCCAGAGGAGCTTCTATATAATAATATATATATACTTCTTCCTGTGAATACTGACTAGATGAGCATTTTTGGTGAGTGGGAGCGACCCAACTGCACACTCATGCACAGGGAGCATTATAGCTTGGTGCTTCTGATGTTGTTTTGGCTGTATGCTATGCCTTTTTGAAGCGAGACGCTGCCTCCTGCGAGCTCTGGTCGCCACTCCCTTGCACCGAGAAAGGCGTGTTTCCAGCTCCTCGGCTGTTTCTGAAGTGGGAGGCTGCCTCCCGGCTGCTATCACTACTTCCTACTGATGGTTGTCTATCGATTAGTACTCGCTAGCACATGGTGCATTATGGGCAACCACTTCTTGCTAAATGTCAGTCTATTAGCATACAGAATAATGGGGACTTTGAATATACTTAACCCTTGAACCATTACAGCACCAACTCAATTACAGGAGATATGAACAGTGTTTACGCTGACACACCCATTACAAGATGGGTTGCTGGTTTTTTTCTTTTTATGACTGGAAAACACTATGGCTATTATGAGGCTTTTTGGAGTCACTATAGCTAACTTTTTAAGTAACTGCATAGTGCTTTTTGCTTCCTGCTCCGGTAAAGTTTTTGGGGTAAAGAACACTGTTTCGCTTCATTGTGGTTATTCCCCTGCCCAATAATTACAATTTTAGCACTTTGCGTAAACTTGCGGAGGAGGGGCTATCAGTTTCAACCAGGAATGCTGACTCATCCTACCAGAGATGGCCAAGGGTTGTGATTGGTTTCTACCTGTAGTGGCTATTATCTCTGCCTGGTATCTACACCACTCGTGTCAGGAAAATATTGTGCTCAAAGATAGCTTTTGGACTCAGCTGTGCTTTGCCCTGTGCGTGGTGAAGGCTATTGGTGGTGTTGTAGTGAGACTGATAGAATGTTGTTATATGAATGAGAACCCTCAAGACAGTGATTGTGGAACCATCAGCGACCGTTGGACCATTAGCCCTGACTGAGCTGCCACTTTTGGTGTTGTGTGCCATACTGATAAGTAACAAATCGATGTGCCAAGGCCGCACGGCACACATCGACTTTGTAGATGTTTTGAGGGCTTTCCATATCAATGGTTGGATGTCTCTACTATACTCAGCATATCATTGTATAAAGTCATTAAAGGAAAATTGGGGTTTTGCTATATTAAATCTCATACTAGCTGGGTTTGTCATTTTACGATCAAATTGTATTCTGTAGCTCTCCATGAACTGACTGTGGTAAACTGTACAGCTTTTAAGGATTTTATGCTTGCATAATGTATAGTTCTACTACCAGATACATCATATGTTTCATTAACCTCCTCTTATAATTGGCGAGCGGGAGCGAGCCAACCTAGTCGTCGCAACGGGTCGATTTTTCTATTTATTGGCGAGCGGGAGCGAGCTAACCTAGTGGTCCGAACGGCGCGAATTTTCGACCGACGCGACCGCGTACGTCGTGTAAGTGCGCATGCTCCAGGATTACGTGTTTCTTTTTATCCGAAATCATTTCAAAATTTCACATGCTGCCTGATGTGTGTGTATCAGTCTCAAAGAGGATGCCATTCGTCGTCGAAGAGAGAGGGAAAGAGAACATCGTGTCAGTGAGACTCCTGAGCAGGGAACGCGCATATTCTTCACACGCTGCCTAGCTGTCATATCGATGCGAAATCTCAGCGAAAGAACTCCCGTCCCATTCGCTGCGCTCTTCAATACCTGACCGAGGCCTCTTTCCAATCTTGGTTCTAAGGTTCAAGTTGTAAATAGGCTAATGCAGATACAGTCATTGTGTGCTCGCTCCCGCTCGCCAAAAATGCCATGCATTCGCCTACTAGTTTATTTATACAAGTAAATTAAAAATCCTGCGAATTTAAAAAAAGAGGCATATAGGGATGGTATAAAAAGAAAGGGAGACAAGATAGGGATTGGATACATGAAGCATGGTTAATGAACAGATTTGAGTACGCTGACACCCCCAACCCCATCACACAATCCCTATATTGTTGCCTGGTGTGCTACTCTTGTAGGGGCTAAAGGTTACTAAAAGCAAGCATTCTTTCACCGTGTCCCTGTTGTTTTTAGTATAACATTTATACTGCCACATTCCCTTTAATTAAACTCCACTTGGACTCTATAAGGGTGTTAGTTACTCAGTAGTGTAGTGTAAATTCTGATGGTGAATGTTTAATACTTCACCTAGGCAACAATATAAGGATTGTGTGATGGGGTTGGGGGTGTCAGCGTACTCAAATCTGTTCATTAACCATGCTTCATGTATCCAATCCCTATCTTGTCTCCCTTTCTTTTTATACCATCCCTATATGCCTCTTTTTTTAAATTCGCAGGATTTTTAATTTACTTGTCTCCACTCATTTTTATATACTACCTGGGCAAGCCCCTATAAAAATTAATAATAGAGAATAAAGGCCTGTTGTCATCATGGAAATGATATGCATACCATGTTTCATCTCCATGTGTGCTACCGTTAGCGAGTTTGAGGAGTGAAGAAGTAATTTTAAAGAAAAGAAAAGTGCCTGAGGCTATTTGTTGTTGTGGTCGTCATGGAAACGATGTAATACACATGCACACCAAGTTTCACCTCTATGCATGCTACTGTTAGTGAGTTTGAGGAGTGAAGAAGTAATTTTAAAGAAAGGTGCCTGAGGCTATTTGTTGTTGTAGTTGTCATTGAAACGATGTAATACACATGCGCACCAAGTTTCACCGCCATGTGTGCTATAGTTAGCGAGTTTGAGGAGTGAAGAAGAAAAGTGCCTGAGGCTATTTGTTGTTGTAGTTGTCATGGAAACGATGTAATACACATGTGCACCAAGTTTCACCTCCATGCGTGCTACAGTTAGCGAGTTTGAGGAGTGAAGAAGTAATTTTAAAGAAAAGTGCCTGAGGCTATTTGTTGTTGTGGTCGTCATGGAAACGATGTTATACACATGTGCACCAAGTTTCACCTCCATGCGTGCTACAGTTAGCGAGTTTGAGGAGTGAAGAAGTAATTTAAAGAAAATTGCCTGAGGCCTTTTCGAACAATATGCGGTCGTCATGGAAACATGTAATCGTAATGGAAATGATATAATAGGCATACGTACCAAGTTTCATCTCTATGCGTGCTACAATTGGAAAGTTTGAGAAGTGAAGAAGTTAATTTAAAGAAAAGTGCCTGAGGCTAGTTGTTGTTATTTACAAACATGTATTTTCGTGATTGGCTATTGAATACATTGTTTATACAAACTTTGCTCACATAACTCTTACCAATTGTGAGTTACACTGACACATGTAGTATGCCCATTATAATGTATTGCCTGGGGCAATTTTGTTTGTTGTTTACAAACAAAAATGTATGACGTTGCAATGTGGTTAGCGATATGTACATTGCAACAAAATTTTATGGCTTTATCTCTTTCGGTTTTTGGGTTATGCTGGTTGGAAAAGAAGAAGAAGAGGAAGAAGAAGAAGATGAAGAAAACTCCCTATCATAGCCCCATACATCTATGATGCTAGGTACCATGTCAATCCCTATATACTAAGTACTACCGTACTTAGTGCAGTGATACGACCGACCGACCGTCGTCGGTCGTACGTCGTGTAAGTGCGCATGCGCGACTGCATTACATACAACTGTGGCATGGCAACCACGGATCGTCTGTCTACAGAGGATGCCCTTTCGTCGAAGAGAGAGGGAAAGAGAACGTCGTGCCCGTGAGACTCCTGAGCAGAGAGAGGCTAGCGATACGTCGTGATAGGGAACGGGCAAGGGAACGCCTCGCCGCCGAAACAGCGGAAGAAAGGGAAGCACGACTAGCGCGACGTCGTGTACAAGATAGAGCTGCAGAACCAGGGGAAACGGAACAGGTCAGGCTCACACAGCTCCGAAACTACCAGGCAAGATGAATTGCTGCCGAGTCCAGCGGGGAGAGAGAGGCCCGCCTGCAACAGGTACGCAGGAATCAAGAGCAGACAATTGCTGCTGAGTCCAGCGAGGAGAGAGAAGAGAGAGGCCTGCCTACAGCTGGTACGACTTAACCAACAACAATGGATTGCCTCAGAGACTCCACAAGAGACTGAAGCAAGACGTCAGCGTGACCGACAAAGTCACATGCAGCAGGCAAGTACTGCCCCTTCAACCCAACCTCAACTTCACCAGCCAATTGTCCAATCAAACTTTGAAGTACTTTCAACACCTGTATACACATTTCTTGGTTGGATCGCTCCCGCTCGCCAACAATGGTCACCATTAAACTAGTTATATAGCTTTTCTGTAGACTGATTTTTATTATCTTGATAGCTACGCCCTTTTCTTCCATCTCATTCTTTTCTCCTCCTCCTCCTTCTCCTCGCCTCTCTTGACAACTGCCCCCTTATCCTTCTTGCTACCAATTTCCCCTCCCTTCCTCGCTATCAAGTCTACTTTGAAATGTTGTCCTCTTAAAATATTCACACATTAAAATGGGGAGTATTCAGTTTGTGTAAAGTATATGAAG